ACCCCAAACCAAAAATATAAGGTATTGCAGTTTACCAATCCTTAGATCTGTTAGCTACATTAGTTTTCTTTTTTAGGGTTTTCTCCCTCTGGTTTCACCTGGTGATCTGGCCAGTAACACCCCTCCTGTATTAGGTAGCCTCCACTCTGAATTAAGGTGCACAGGGGCACCTTGCCTTTAGACAACAGCCTTGTCATTTTAGGGGGGCAAACTGAAGCCAAACTCCAGCTAGTACTTTTTATGCAGTTAGAGAAATTTTTATTTCTTTTGAGATAAAGGTCTTACATGAATAAATGAAAGCTGCTCATTGAGAGCACCCCTGTCAGTAGTAATTGGTTTGTCTCAAGGATGTTATTCCACTGCACAGCTTGGTGTCATCTGCAAAGACTGAAATGGGATTTCTAATCTCAGACCCTATATCGTTTATAAATATGTTAAAAAGTAAGGGTCCCAACACTGAACCTTGGGTTATACCACTGACAACCCTAGACCATTCAGAGTATGAATCATTAACCACTACTCTTTGAATACGATCTTCTAGCAAACTTTCTAACCATTTACAGTACATACAGATTTTTCCAAGCCTTTACCTTACACATTAGCCATGTGTGGGGAACTGTGTCAAACGCTTTTGCAAAATCCAAGTATACCACGTCCACCGCCACCCCTCTGTCCAAGGTTTTTCTCACCCCCTCATAAAAAGAAATCAGATTTGTTTAACCACTTCTGTCTTTCATGAATCCATGTTGTCTGTTGCTTAAAATATTTTTTTCCAGCAAGAACTCATCTATGTGGTCTTTTATTAAACTCTCCAATATCTTCCCAACTACAGAAGTTAAACTAACAGGTCTATAATTACTTGGTAAAGATTTTGACCCCTTTTTAAATATTGGCACCACATTGGCCTTACGCCAATCCAGTGGTACTATGCTCGTCACTAAAGAGTCCCTAAAAATTAGAAACATTGACTTTGAAATGACAGAGCTCAATTCTTTAAGGACCCGTGGGTGTATGCCATCCGGTCCAGGTGCTTTATTCACCTTTATACTGTCTAAATATTTTTGTATCATATCAATTGTGAGCCAATGTGGATCATCTGGAGCTGTGTCAATACCATGCCCATTATGGACAAGAGCTCCCACATAATTGATTGGGTGAGAGAGAACCATGCATCCACTAACAAAGTGAACATTAATAGTTTGTCAACTCAGTTATCTGCTTGCACATAGCTGTGAACATTTCATACAGTGTCCCCAATTGCGGCCTAGTTATACTAGCTCCATTGTTGGAATACACATGCAATACAGTTATCATCCAAGCTGACTGCAGGACATACAGTTATAGACAGCAGTGCCAACTGAATCCACAATCCATCCCCCCTTTCTTTCTGCAGAGTAAGATTCCTACTACTGTTCATCTTTTGCCTTTGACATCCAGAGGGAGTTATGTTTGTCCATAGACATTTATGCCAGTTGTTGCTATTATTTAGGGGAGTGTTAGCTTTTCTCCTTTTCCCTCATTATCGGTGATGTGACTACCCTGAGGAGCTATCATCCACCCATGGACGCAACTTCACACCAATTGGGCCACAACAAGGCACAGAAGATATTAGGGAGCTATTAAAGGGGACACTGCCAATTATAACTGAGAATTCTCTTTATTTCTGATTTAATCCTTGTTATCCAGTTCTGAGGACCCACAGTGAGCTTATCTGTTATTAATAGTCATTCCTGCTCACTGGGGATTCAACAGTCCCCCTCAGACTGGAGGCAGTGGGTTATTTCTGAAAGCAGGCCTGCCAACAGATACTGTTGTTTTATTGTGAATGTTGTTACTTTTGCTCACAGTTGCCAAGAGTGATCAGATTTGCTGCCAATACCAGTGTTATTTTGTTATTCCAGTTACCTTCAAATCCAATATAAACTTCATTTTGATTTATACTATTCTGTGTGTAAGTCCATATTACAGGTGTGATTTACAGTGAAGGAAATAAGTATTTGATCCCCTGCTGATTTTTAATGTTTGCCCACTCACAAAGAAATGATCAGTCTAAATATTGAATGGTAGGTATATTGTAACACTGAGAGACAGAATTGCAACAAAAAATTCAAAAGAAATGCATGTCTAACAAATTATGCACTGATTTGCATGTTCATTTGGGAAATAAGTATTTGATCCCCTATCATTCAGCAGGATTTCTGGCTACCAGGTGTCTTTCATATAGGAAACAAGCTGAGGTTAGAAGCAGTCTCTTAAAGGGAGTGCTGCTAATCTCATTTTGGTACCTGTATAAAAGACACCTGTCCACAGGAGTAATCAAACAATCAGATTCCAAACTCTCAACCATGGCAAAGACCAAAGAGCTGTCCAAGGATGTCAGGGACAAGATTGGGTGGACTGGGCTTCCAAACTATCACCAAGCAGATTGGTGAGAAGATGACAACAGTTGGTGCAATCATTCGCAAATGGAAGAAACACAAAACAACTGTCAGTCTCCCTAGGTCTGATGCACCAAGCAAGATCTCACCTCGTGGAGTGTCAATGATCATGAGAATATTGAGGAATCATCCCAGAACTACACGTGAGGAACTTGTCAATGATCTCCAAGCAGCTGAGACCACAGTCACCAAGAAAACAATTGGTGACACACTACGCCGACAAGGATTGAAATCCTGCAGTGCCCGCAAGGTCCCTCTGCTCAAGAAAGCACATGTCCAAGCCTGTCTGATGCAGAGGAGGACTGGTTGAAAGATTTGTAGTCAGATGAGACCAAAATCGAGCTCTTTGGCATCAACTCAACTTGCTGTGTTTGGAGGAGGAGGAATGCTGCCTATGACCCCAAGAACACCATCCCAACCATCAAACATAGTGGTGGAAAAATTCTGCTTTGGGGGTGTTTTTCTGCTAAGGAGACAGGACAACTGCACCGTATCAAAGGGACGATGGACGGGGCAATGTACCGTCAAATCTTGGGTGAGAACCTACTTCCCTCAGCCAGGGCATTGAAAATAGCAACATTTACAACATTCCTGCTAAATTCCTACTAGATATAAAAGTTAAAACTGTATTGAGTTAGCACATAACAAATATTTGCCAATTTTGAATTGTGCCTTTTTGTGAAAGGGTGAAAACTGAAGGTGCACAAATCTGTAAATAAAAAAATTTACCCTAAAAATCTGAGGTTAGCATTGTACCTTACAGCATTCAGAGTTTATAAAAGACCCTCCTCCCCAAACAAAATATTTTCTGAAAACAAAGGTCCTATAAAATAAAAAAATAAAGATACTGATTTTTTAGGCCCCGCAATAGTTGTGCAAATGTTCATCAAATCGCTGTTTGCACTAAAAATACACTCAAATCATTATTAATGACCACAAACGCAATACAACTTAGAAAATTCCTCCTAAAATACTACTAAGGCCTCATTCACATGGGTTGTACTAAAGTGTATGCCTGTGGAGGGCCGTGTTTACCCACATGGTGCATCCCCATGCAGGCAGTCCCATTCATGTCAATTGGGATGCAGCAGCTGCACGGGCACCACTACTGTTCCCAATCTGACAATTGTGTGGGTGTGGGTGCACGACCCTGAATGCAGACAGTGTGATCTCAGGGAAATGCACCCAGACCCACATGGATGTCAATTTGGCAGCAATGGCTGTGTTTGTGCAGCTGTTACATCCCAAATTACATCAATGGGTCAGGTATGCATGGAACGCCTGTGCACCCCTGTGCATGTAAACATGGCTTTGTATGCCCTGCGTGAAGAAGTCCTTAGTTTGTTTTGTTTTTTTTCTTTGACTTATACTTTTTTTTCTTTTTTTTAACAATTTTTTTTTTTGGGACAGTGGGGGCTTTAGTGAAATATCAGAGGTTTAAGCTGATGTCTCTTTTTCGGGACAGAGAAAGGGACTGAAGACAGTCCCTTTCTCTGCAGCCTGAGCTGCACTGTACATAAATGAATAACAGTCGGTATGGAGACTCCTATTCATTCACAATACAGCAGTAAAGTAAATAGAGTGTACTATACTTCAGTGATGAATGGATTGAGGAGTGATCGTTACTGATTGCTCACTATGTCTATTCAAACAAAGGAAGGGGGCTGATAAACACTAGTTGTACTTGGTGATGTAAGGCTTGGATGCAGCTGCTTGGTCATGGAAATCCATTCCATGAAGCTCTCTACACACTGTTGTTGTGCTAATCTGAAGACCACATGAAGTTTGGAGGTTTTTAGCTACTGACTCTGCAGATAGTTGGTGACTTCTGCACACTGTATGCTCCAGCATGCACTGACCCTGTTCATTCATTTTATGTGGGCTGTCACTTCGTGGCTGAGTTGCTGTTGTTCCCAGTTGCTACCACTTTGATGCAATACCACTAACAGTTGACGGTGGAATATTTAGTAACAAGGAAATTTCACAGATGGACTTGGATTGCACAGGTGGCAACCTATCACGATACCACGCTTGAATTCACTGAGCTCCTGAAAGTGAGCCATTCTTTCACAAATGTTTGTAGAAGGAGTCTACATGCCTAGGTACTTGATTTTATACACCAATGGCCATGAAGGTGATTGGAACACCTGAATCCAATGATTTGGAGGGGTGTCCTAATACTTTTGGCAATATAGTATACATGAATACAATAAACCTTGTGAACTGTTAAAAGTTCAGTCCAAAAGTTAGTCTCTGTGGCAGCTTAGTGCATTCCTATTAATACATCAATATGATTCCTCCAAACTCTTCATCACCACTTGTGCCAATATATATATAATGTATACAGTACACACACAATATATATATATATATATATATATAGTTAGAGCCCTCCACCAGATATGCTCTCATCTGGAATAGATGACCAAACCGCTAAGTGAGGTCATATAGCATTTGTGTCCCTTTAACCACCTTCCGCCCACCATATAGTAATATGATGGATGCAAGGTGGATCTCTCGTTCTGGGAGGAAGTTATATGACATCCTCCCATTCTAACCGCACATGCGCGGCTACCGGAGCTACTGATCCACGGAAAGAGCCAAAGATGTCTGCTCAGTCATGTGATCAGCTGTGTCCAATCACAGCTGATCACATGTAAACAGGGAAATGCCGGTTATCGGCATTTCTCTCCTCTCGAGCTGTCATGCTGACAGCTCGTGAGGAGAGGACAGCCGGTAATCGGCATTCCGCGGAGGGGACATGTACACTGATCATCACAGCACTGATGATCAGTGTGCCCTGATGATCAGTGTAGCCCCAGAAGTGCCACCTGTCAGTGTCCATCAATGCCAGCTGTCAGTGCTCATCAGTGCCACCTGCCAGTGCCACATCAATGCCACATATCAGTGCCTACCAGTGCACATCAATGCCACATATCCGTGCCCATCTGAGCTGCCTTTCAGGGTCACCCATCAGTGCCAGTCAGTGTCACCTATCAATGCCAATCAGTGCCACCTATCAGTGCCGCCTATCAGTGCCTGTCAGTGCCGCCTATCAGTGCCAGTCAGTGGTTTAAAGTGGTTTAAAATCACTTGCCAACTGTGCTATAGCTGAATGATGGCTACAGCACGGTTGTCCAGTCTTGGGAGGGCATCATATGATGTCCTCCCACAATGCGCCCTTCCCGGGTGGAGCACACCCAGCGAACTCCGTGATTGCTGTGTCCTATGGACACAGCTGATCACATGATGTGATAAAAGGCCAAGCACAGCGGCCTTTCACCACGTGATCAGCTGTGTCCAATGACACAGCAGATCACCGGTAAATGCAGTTGCCAGTTATCGACTAAACTTTCCTTGTGCTGTCACAGCGTGAGGAACGTACTGCCAATAACTCGCAATTGTCAGAGGACACATCGACACCAATCATCAGGGCACTGATGATCAGTGCCCAGCCCAGCAGTGCCACCCACAAGTGCCCAGCAGTGCCACCCACCTGTGCCCATCAATACCACCCACCTGTGCCCATCAGTGCCCAGTAGTGACACCCACCTGTGCCCATCAGTGCCTAGTAGTGCCACCCACCTGTGCCCAGCAGTGCCACCCACCAGTGCCCAGCAGTGCTCCCCATCAGTGCCACCCATCGGTGTTGCCCAGCAGTGCCACCCAGCAGTGCCCAGCAGTGCTGCCAGACAGTGCCCAGCAGTGCCGGCAGTCAGTGCCACCCATCAGTGTTGCCCATCAGTGCTGCCTATCAGTGCCCATCATTTGTTGCATATCAGTGCAGCATCATCAGTGCCGCCTCATCTGTGCCAGCTCATCAGTGCCGCCTATCAGTGCTGCCTATCAGTGCCCATCAATGCTGCCTATTCATGCCACCTCATCAGTGCCGCCTATCAGTGCCCATCAGTGCTGCCTATCAGTGCAGCCTTATCAACACACATCAGTGAAGGAGAAAAATTACCTGCTTGCAAAATTTTATAATAGAAACAAAGAAAAACTTTTTTTTTTCAAATTTTTTTTTTTGGTTTATAGCACAAAAACTAAAACACCCAATGGTGAGTAAATACCACCAAAAGAAAGCTCTATTTGTTTGGAAAAAAAACTATAAAAATTTCATATGGGTACAGTGTTGCATGACTGCGCAATTGTTATTCAAAGTGCAACAGCACTGAAAGCTGAAAATTGGCCTGGGCAGGAAGGAGGTATAAGTGCCCAGTAAGCAAGTGGTTAATTAGGACATCTTGGATGCTGGCAAGACATGATTTTATGTTTATTTTACATGTCTAATGGCACAAGCTTTGGTCTCATGCAGCTTGTTTGGAGTAGTTAAAGCCACCTTATATAGGGATTGGCATAGGAGGACCACCAATATCTCTCTAACACGCTAACAAAAGCGTGATGGACCACTCTTAACAGGGGGTCATACTTTTCCGGTAAGCCTTGCATGCAAGTGGTTGGTGTCACATAAGCTATCTTCAGAAATGTTTTCCTGTCTCATCACGGCATATGGGGACTGTTCTGTCTCGATTTCATTATTTGATACTTCACTATGAACATTTTGAATTCTTACTATTTTCATATTTTTTATATTTTTATTTAAGCGCTGCACTTTATTTGTACACTGTTTATATATGAGTATTGAGATTAATGCTTATATAATTATCATTGCACTTGTATGTATGATTTTTATTTTTATTTTATTTTTGATGTGAAGTGCAGCACTCAATTAGAAGTATACTGTAGTATAAATACATGAACTTAACGTGATATTACACAAAGCAGCGCTCAGACTGGGGGAGGGTGAGGAAGCATTAAAGCGGAGTTCCACTAACACTGTCAAAAAATAAAAGTCAGCAGCTACCAAAACTGTAGCTGCTGACTTTTAAAAAACAGCCACTTACCTGTTCCTCGGTCCCGAGGTGTGTCCCCCGCAGCCTGTTTCACCGGCCGTCCTGTATTCCAGGAGGCCGGCATCTTCAGTGTGGGTACCCGGCTGTGATATCTTGCGGCTTCACAGCTGGGAACCCACTGTGAATGCGTTAGTAGCACTGCGCTTCATGAATGGTCTTGTAGTCTTCTGGGACCTGTCACGTGTCCCAAAAGACTACAGGGAGGGAGGGAGGAAGGACACCTTCCGCTTCCGATCGTGTAGGCGATCGGACCGGAAGTGGGAGCGGGTACCTGTCAAATTCGGGTACCCACTCCCTCCCCGCCCCCCAAAGGTGCCAATCCTTAATGAGGAGTGGGGGAGCAGTCCTTACAGCGGAACAACCAGGCGAAGTGGAATTCGTTTCGAATTTCAGGAAAAATTCGATTCGCGTCGAATCCGAATATTAGCATACTTCGGGTGCGCGAATCGGATTTTTCCGATCAGCCGGCAAAAGTGTCCCTGCAGAGAGCTCCGCTATTTCTGACAGTTCTCTGACAGTTCCTTCACATGTACAGCGGTTGAAACATTGTATCTATTTGTTTCCATTTAGGATACAGATGTTTTTATTCGGAAACAGATACAATGTTTCAACCGCTGTAAATGTGAAGGAACTGTCAGAGAACTGTCAGAAATAGCGGAGCTCTCTGCAGATACACTTTTTGCTGTACTGGAATACTTCTTCTTTTCATTCTTCTTTTCATTCTTCTCATTCTTCTTTTTCTTCTTCTTCTTTTCATTCTTCTTCTCATTCTTCTTTTCATTCTTCTTTTCTTTCTTCTTCTTCTTTTCATTCTTCTCATTCTTCTTTTCTTCTTCATGAAAAGAAGAATGAGAAGAAGAATGAAAAGAAGAATGAAAAGAAAAGAATGAAAAAAAGAAAAATGAAAAAGAAGAATGAAAAGAAGAATGAAAGAAGAATGAAAAGAAGAATGAAAAGAAGAATGAGAAAGAATGAAAAAGAAAAAGAATGAATGAGAAGAATGAAAAGAAGAATGAAAGAATGAAAAGAAGAAGAAAAAGAAGAAAAGAAGAATGAAAAAGAAGAAGAAGAATGAAAAGAAGAATGAAAAAAGAAGAAGAAGAAGAATCTTTTCATTCTTTTCTTCTTCTTTTTCATTCTTCTTCTTCATTCTTCTTCTTCTTCTTTCTTCTTCTTCTTCTTCTTTTCTTCTTCTTCTTCTTCTTTTCTTCTTTTCTTCTTCTTCTTTTCATTCTTCTTCTTCTTCTTTTCATTCTTCTTTCTTCTTTTCATTCTTCTTTTTCTTCTTCTTTTCTTCTTCTTCTTCTTTTCTTCTTCTTTTCTTCTTCTTCTTCTTCTTTCTTCTTCTTCTTTTCTTCTTCTTTTTTCTTTCTTCTTCTTCATTCTTTCTTCTTCTTTTCATTCTTCTTTTCATTCTTCTCATTCTTCTTCTTCTTCTTCTTCTTCATTCTTCTTTTCTTCTTCTTCTTTTCATTCTTCTTTTTTCTTCTTCATTCTTCTTTTCTTCTTCATTTCATGAAAAGAAGAATGAGAAGAAGAATGAAAAGAAGAATGAAAAGAAAGAAGAAGAATGAAAAGAAGAATGAAAAGAAGAATGAAAAGAAGAATGAAAAGAAGAATGAAGAAGAATGAAAAGAAGAAGAAGAAGAAAAGAAGAAGAAGAATGAAAAGAAGAATGAAAGAAGAATGAAAAGAAGAATGAAAGAAGAATGAGAAGAATGAAAAGAAGAATGAAAGAAGAATGAAAAGAAGAATGAAAAGAAGAAGAAGAAGAATGAAAAGAAGAAGAAGAAGAAAAGAAGAATGAAAAATGAAGAAGAAGAAGAATCTTTTCATTCTTCTCATTCTTCTTTTCATTCTTCTTTTCTTCTTCTTCTTCTTCTTCTTCTTCTTCTTCTTCTTCTTCTTCTTTTCATTCTTCTTCTTCTTCTTCTTCTTCTTCTTTTCATTCTTCTTCTTTTTCATTCTTCATTCTTCTTCTTCTTCTTCTTCTTCTTCTTCTTCTTCTTCTTCTTCTTCTTTTTCATTCTTCTTTCTTCTTCTTCATTCTTTCATTCTTCTTCTTCATTCTTCTTTTCATTCTTCTTCTTTCTTCTTTTCATTCTTTTTCTTCTTCTTTCTTCTTCTTTTCATTCTTCTTTTCATTCTTCTTTTCTTCTTCTTGAAAAGAAGAAATGAGAAGAAGAATGAAAAGAAGAATGAAAAGAAAATGAAGAATGAAAAAGAATGAGAAGAAGAAGAATGAAAAGAAGAATGAAAAGAAGAATGAAAAGAAGAATGAAAAGAAGAATGAAGAAGAAGAAAAGAAAAGAATGAAAAGAAGAATGAAAAGAAGAATGAAAGAAGAATGAAAAGAAGAATGAGAAGAAAGAATGAAAAAGAAGAATGAAAAGAAGAATGAAAAGAAGAAGAAAAGAAGAAGAAGAAGAAGAAGAAAAGAAGAAGAAGAAGAAGAAGAAGAAGAATGAAAAGAAGAAGAATGAAAAGAAGAATGAAAAGAAGAAGAATGAAAAGAAGAAATGAAAAGAAGAATGAAAAGAAGAATGAAGAATGAAAAGAAGAAGAAAAAGAAGAATGAAAAGAAGAATGAGAAGAAGAATGAAAAGAAGAATGAGAAGAAGAATGAAAAGAATGAAAAGAAGAATGAATGAAAGAAGAATGAAAAGAAATGAAAAGAAGAAGAAGAAATGAAAAGAAGAAGAAGAATGAAAAGAAGAATGAAAGAAGAAGAAGAAGAAGAAGAAAGACTTTTTTCATTCTTCTCATTCTTTTTTTCTTTTTCTTCTTCTTCTTCATCTTCTTCTTCTTCTTCTTTTCATTCTTCTTCATTCTTCTTCTTCTTCTTCTTCTTCTTCTTCTTCTTCTTCTGAGGATGAGGATGAGAAGAATGAAGAAGAAGAAGAAGAAGTAGGATGAAAATAAGAAGAATTCCAAGCCGGCAAAAAGTGTATCTGCAGAGCTCCGCTAAGTGTATCTGCAGAGCTCCGCTAAGTGTATCTGCAGAGCTCAGCGGTTGAAACATTGTATCTATTTGTTTCCATTTATGGAAACAAATAGATACAAT